ATTGAATTGAACTGACTTTAGGGGCCAGTTTCTGAGTTTAACGTACGTGGTAATGAACCTTCATGCTCTATACAAGGCGGTGGATTACTTCACTGCTGAACATTGTTCCAGTTGTTACAATGGCGTCGTCTCTCTAACTTCAACCGGAGCAAACAAATGAAGTAAGGATCTCGCTCCGTAAAGGTCACTGCCATTGTCCCGGCGTGAAGCAAACATTCGCTGATATTTCTCGTGCTTCTACTCAGTACCTCGAGGCACTTCTTAAAGAGGTCGTTGATCTCCCGTTCGATATTGCATGAAGTATACTGAAGGATTCTCTGAAGTTTTTGGCACAGAGGTTGATCCAGAGCGTACATTGTCCGTTCTTCGAGCTCTAGTATTTGATATCGTCTTCATGGCGTTTCGAGACTTGGTCACAGGCCTCTTCCAGCTCTCAGATGATTTGTTGTCATTACAGATCAATTTCAAAATACAAAATGTCAAAAAATGTCAGTCTTTGGTTAACAGATTAACAAAAGACTACAGCTGATCCAAGGCTGGAGACGTTGTGTACTGTGTCGCATGTGTGTATCAGATAATGTGCAGTACACGACATAAATATTATGCTATCATAATGTAATAAAGTATATAAGGCAGGAGAAACGACAAGAAATTGTACTAAAAATTAAACAAAAAAACTGCTGCAACCCACAGCTTCTTAGTGATCTTGCGACTAACGAATGCAGCAACTACTACGCTACGCAAGGTATCAGATGCCGGGAGACGTCCTCAGGGAAGACACAGGAATCCTAGAAGCTGTTATCTGTGACGTACACTGCGTATTGCATTGCTCTCTTTTCTGTGCTGGGTACGAATAACCAACATTTTTCATATTGAGACAATAATCTAGAAACTGACTTCAGTAAGCTAGCAATGGCTGGGGGTTCGTCGTGCTGACCACACGTCACCCTATATCTGGTTGGATGATCGTTCACCTCTGCTTAGGCATGTGAACGTGAGGCTTTGGCTCTCTGGAGCTGTTACGCCACGGATTTAATTTTTATTTTGACTTCAGTAAGATATTTTAACATTCAAGCTACTTCGCGGCATTGTTTCCTATCCGCATTTTGTTGTATTTTGCATTACTCTGTATAAAATTCCATAAAATATCCTAGATGACAATATAACCTGACGCCATTTTGCAATTTGCACAAGAGCTGATTGTCCTGCTATGCTAAGTTTACAGTTTAAATCATTTGAATTCTATCGTAATTAATGTCGCTTGTGTACATTTGTACGAATGTAACTAATAAGAGAAATAACAAGGTCGGAAATGTAAGCAGTGAGTAAAAATTATGGCATATTTGCTCCGTGATTGCCTCCAGATTTTCATTTCGTGTGTCCTAACTTCTGATACACCCTCATAAACGGAGAGGCAAGGATTTCCAATATCAAACTGGAATAAATCATTCAAATCTTTCTGAAGTTAAAAAGAAAAACTTCAGACGACCGAAAATCGTGTCTGCTATCGTTGTCTACAAGTAATACACGAGATGGACCCTTCCAAATCAAAAGTAATTTAATACTTTTAATACTCCCTGCATGAATTACAACTGATAAACATAATTCTAAGAATACGAACAGGTTAGAACAAAGTACATGAAATGTTTATTTAAATGTAAGAATAAAAAGTTTAGAGCCTGACCAACTTAAAAAGCAGAGCCTGTCTGTAACACATTCTACACATTACATTCATAAAGAATTATACGCCTAACAACCAATAAAGTCCACCAAATCGGCCTACATTTTGCTGTCGTAATACGTACACACGCCTAATAAGTGTCCCTTTGCTTTAAACTGTAGGACTCACATTAGACAACTCGCGAGTACGATATTATTAAATGGTCTGCGTTGAAATCGTCCAGGTACCTTTATTAAAGAAAATTCTAATATTCTGAAATTTTAAGGCGGCGATCGGCGTCGTGAAAAGCAAGAAAGCACCTCGAAAACGTCGGTAAATTTCTACGAGACCTCACGAAACAACTTTTCGTAAGAGAGTCGTCTCAAGAAAATAAGAATCTTCCAAATATTGAAAAGGATCCACACGCCACGCTAATCGCTGACTTCACACATTCACAGGATGGAAAAAGGAAAACAAGACTTCGCGTCGTCCATTGTCTACTACGCACTGTTCTCGTGCTTCTACGCAACGCAGCACAACAGATCTTTGTGCTAGCCCCCAAATGTGATTACTCGAGACAGCGTAGTTCACAGCTTTCTTAAGTTCCTTTCCCAAAATCAGGACGAATCGAGTTTTCGAAAGAGCGGTCGTACACCCCCGTAGGCTCACAGCTTCAAGATGTCAGTCCTCTGATGACGAACGTACTTCAATGTGATCAGGAAAATTTGAAAACAAATACGTTTTACTGTTCAACATCTGTTGCCCCCAGCAAGAAGATTATTCAAGAATATCACTGTCAAAATAATGTCAATGCAGGCACGAAAGTTTTATGGCGAAACTACGTCAATGCCTATTTTCACACACTGGCAATAATCAAACAAAATAATGATATTAAATTATGACGTCATGCCCCGTGTACTACGATTTAGTGGAAAAAATCACAATTCAGCTTAAAACCAAGGCACGAAATCAGCCACAGTAGGAACACTCTTCTAGGCCAATCAGGTTGACCAAATTTTGTCCAGACGACTGAGGCGATACGATCTCCGAATCGTTGGTCACGGCGTCAAAACTCACAAGACAACGAGCGAAACATGTATCCCAAGTCTCATACATTCTACTGACAATGAAGCCTCCTTCGGAATCTTAAAATGCAGAGCGCTGGCAAATGTCTTGCGGAATTAAACCCTATTAACGCTCTTCAATCTAATATCACTGCAGCTCGTTGATTTCTGTTTGGCAGCCTCAGAACTGGAGGCCAACGTGATGACTATTTATTTGCATTTAACTGCTTGTTCGACTGCTCTAATCTTCAGGAGAGGAACTCATATTCATTTGCTGCTGAAGGAAGGTTTCGGAGTAGCAAAGCCAAAAAGGTCAAGTTCCACGGCGCTAAAATCACTGCGACGCTTTGACTTTCCGTAATAAATGCAAGCACTTTGTTTAAAACCGGAGCGAAAGTACTTCTAGAGAAACACATATAAAAAAGAAAGTTATAGTCACAACTTGGAACGCATTTCAGTTCACTGTGATCTTGACTACTTTTGTTTACATACACTAATGAGCTGAAGCGATCCTTTCTCGTCTAACCGAACAATTTCTCTTCCGGAGGAAACCGTAGTCTACCGCACTGAAGCCTAAAAACACTTCAAGACCTGGGAGGAACAGTGGGCTAATTTACACTTTATTAAAACTGAAAAGAACGAAGACAGGACTTAGAAATAGTTGCTCAAACTCCGGTTTTTAAGATCCTGAAAGGCGCAAATTTAAACCCAAAGAATCGCATGTTCTTGGAAACGGGCAGCGCCTTCTCAGTTCGATGGAGCATAAAAGCAAATAGAGACGAGACTAGGGCCATCTGCTTCTACAGATCGTTCGAGGCTTGTCTTAACGTACCGAACACCAGTTTTGTAAATCACGTGACGTACCTCGATTTTATTGTTTTTCAAAATGCGTCTAGAAATGATTGAAGCCAAGGCCTTCAGAACATCTTTCGAGAGTAAGCGACGTTTAACTGATCTTAAGGAAACACTCAGTAGGTGTTTTATGACTTACGGCTGCTCGCCCTAGAAATCTGTAGCAGACAGCCATCTCTTGTAATAGCAGCAACTTCGCAACATCGGAAATTTGCAAGGCGCTTACTGTTCTGCGATTCGCAAGTAGCCTTAGAAATTTCGTACGTTTATTAATTCATTACAAAATTATGAAAGCGGCGAACGCAATCATGTTAAACGCACACTGCTTGTCTGTTGTCTGAACCACAACTGGTACTAACTTTTGAAAGTCACCGCTAGATGGCAGTGCGATGTAGTGTTCACCGCGACGTCTTGATGTAACTTAACCAACTGTGTGACAAAACCACTCTCTCGCCAGTAACACTACATATATTTCTACGACAGCACAAGAAAAGTTGTATAAGCTCTTGAAACCATTCTGCATCTGCCTAATTTATTCTCGATTCACAAGCAATTATACCTAGTCAGCAGACAGACGCCATGTATAAACACGTCATTTGCCAATGTTAATACCAAATGTGCATTTAAAAGTTCGTAATAAATTAATTATTTGTATTAATTCTTAATTACACACTACCTGGCGGCCCCTGTAAATCATTTTCATGAAACCACAACTTATTATTAAACGTATTTATAATTTGAACATATAACTTATTATTTTATTTTAATATTTTCCGTCAAATCACAATTTTAATAAGATAATAAAATATAAAATATTTAAAATATCATTTCACGTTCCGCATCGAATGATCGATTTACAAATTGGAACGTCTCTTACGACATGTTTCGGTTATATTTAACCGTCCTCAGGTATAAATTAGATTGGTAAATCTAAAACTCGAATTACAATCATTTACAATGTTATGCAGTTTATTTGAACAGAGCCGAATCGCTTTTTCTTGTTCGTCAATTTTCACACACTCACATCACTGTCCACACACCGAAACAACATGTTTCGGTCCAATGTGACCATCGTCAGGATCGTATTATTCTCCTCCAGATGCCAAGAAATATTACTAAAATATTTATTAACACGTTTTTAATTAGTTAAATTATTCTAAACAGTAAATGCAAAAAAGTTTTTAATGAATGTTTTACAGTCTGCTGAGTGTCGGTGTGGTTTTGATATGTAAACAGAACGTTTTACATTACAAAATGGATACGCGTATATGCGGTATTGCATTACCCGAGGCGTATGTCGTGTGGTGTTTCGTCGCAGAATGACGCTTGTTGCTGTGTCTTTGTACGTTTTATCAGGCGTCACGGAGGTCAGTGTTCTGCTGTCTGTGAAGATGTGTTCTGAGTTTTCTGTGCATAAATTTTTAAAAAAATATGGTTATTGTGGCCGATATTAAATCCAAATCGCAAACAACAGGGAAGTCGTCCACACACACCTAAAACATCCCATAACTTCATATTTTGTTGGTAAATTATATACTTGATTATTTTTCAAACTTTGTACCCTTTTTTTTTGTAGTAGTGGAAGTAATTTTGTTTCTGTATAATTTTCAGCATACTTTGCATACCTTTGACCGTGTTTCTGTCGTATTTCAATAACACGTTGTGAATTATGTGCACTGCATATTGTTAGGATACATTTTATACACATGTTCACATCAAATGAGCACATTCCAGTGTTCTTGTAAACTGGCGTGTTATTTGGTTAATTAATTAGTTGGATCAAATTTTTTATATCGTATGTATAAGGAATTTGTTTATATAATGCGAAAGGAGACCCGACAATCATGAATGTATTCCGGGTTGCAGCGCAAAAGTGTACCGACGTTTCACTGGCATTTGCCACGATGATCGTCCTGGTAACGGAGGCAGCAAGGACCTCCGAAACGTCGATAAAATCCTACCACACTACGCGGCGCTACAACTCAGAAGACATCAGTCTTGATACTCGCCGCTCTGCAATATGTAGAAACGTTTGACCGTGTAGTCTGGTAGATGACTAACGACATGCAAACTGCCTCCATCATCAGGGCGGTTACCAGTATTAATCAAATTTATACCTGTTTCAGAGGCACACACTAAGAAGGAGAAGCAAAATGGACACGCGTATATGCGGTATTGCATTACCCGAGGGGTATGTGGTGTGGTGTTTCGTCGCAGAATGACGCGGGTTGCTGTGTCTTTGTACGTTTTATCAGGCGTCACGGAGGTCAGTGTTCTGCTGTCTGTGAAGATGTGTTCTGAGTTTTCTGTGCATAAATTTTTTAAAAAATATGGTTATTGTGGCCGATATTAAATCCAAATCTCAAACAACAGGGAAGTCGTCCACACACACCTAAAACATCCCATAACTTCATATTTTGTTGGTAAATTATATACTTGATTATTTTTCAAACTTTGTACCCTTTTTTTTGTAGTAGTCGAAGTAATTTTGTTGCTGTATGATTTTCAGAATACTTTGCATACCTTTGACCGTGTTTCTGTCGTATTTCAATAACACGTTGTGAATTATGTGCACTGCATATTGTTAGGATACATTTTATACACATGTTCACATCAAATGAGCACATTCCAGTGTTCTTGTAAACTGGCGTGTTATTTGGTTAATTAATTAGTTGGATCAAATTTTTTATATCGTATGTATAAGGAATTTGTTTATATAATGCGAAAGGAGACCCGACAATCATGAATGTATTCCGGGTTGCAGCGCAAAAGTGTACCGACGTTTCACTGGCATTTGCCACGATGATCGTCCTGGTAACGGAGGCAGCAAGGACCTCCGAAACGTCGATAAAATCCTACCACACTACGCGGCGCTACAACTCAGAAGACATCAGTCTTGATACTCGCCGCTCTGCAATATGTAGAAACGTTTGACCGTGTAGTCTGGTAGACGACTAACGACATGCAAACTGCCTCCATCATCAGGGCGGTTACCAGTATTAATCACATTTATAATTGGAGAAATTGACACCTGTTTCAGAGGCACACACTAAGAAGGAGAAGGCCTCCACACATTCTTAATCTCGTAATTGACGCTCTCTGATCCGGCTGTCACTTCATTGACTGAACTGTCCGGCCTATGAATGTGAGTGTTGGAACATTCCGTCCTGAGTACGCGCACAGCCACTCCGCCTAAGATGAACTTCGCTGCTTGACTCGACAAGTGAATAATTAACAAACTTGGGGAACAACATGACGACGTAAGCTTCCTGTAACAAGTTATATCAGAAATACAAGAAGCTTAATCGGATTCATAATGAGATTTCAAACATTTTGAGAATATATGTTGCAGGTTTCCCTGTTTTAAACGCTCGGAGCTTAATGAAGAACCAGACAACCCCATCTGTCTGGCAACGCCCACATTAATAATGAATAAAGTGGATAAACACCGTGTTCAGAGTCAGTGGACTGCATTAATATCTGATTACCTTCATCTCATTTGCTATCTAACTCCCCAAACTCGTGTTATTTTTCCCTGTATTTTAGTCACAATGTTGCCATAGCAACACGCCTCTCGAAATTTATTGGCGTGTATTCCAATGTATGCTGCAACTCACACCAAATACCAGAACGCACATCGGATGTGCTATCACGTGTTATTTGCAAAATGCACCCAAAATAAACGCATATGTTTTGGTCGTGTCTGTCCGTCTGACCGCATGTTTCAACCCGAGAACGTTTCGACACATTTTTTATGAAATTTGATTTAAGGCCAAACCAAACTCGTTTTAAACATGTTGCAGTAGGTACTAACAGCATTGAGGTGCGTACAACACTAACGCTGATTAAAATAAATTAAGGTTTTCTAGGTCACTTGTTTTGTTAAATGCGAAGAGGAAGACGACGAATGCGAGCCCGAAGCTGTGCCGAGTTTTGCCGAAGCATTGGCAAAAGTGAACTCGTTCTTTTATGCCCATAATATTAGTGAACGTGACGAGGAAACATTTTGAACGTGGAAAGGGTTCTGTTTGGCCTAAAACGTAAAGTTTCGACAAACCAGTTGTCCATTAAAGACTTTTTTGGCAACGACAGTTGTAACAACTTGTAAAACGCTTAGAATTTCAGATAATATATTTTATCTTTTTGTACTAGTCCAGAATTCTAGCCCGTGGACTAAACTGCATCTCGTATTACCTAAGTATGACGTTCGTAAAACAAGATTTGCAAAGCTCGAAACAAAGTTGTGTAGATATATATCTTATAAATTACGTACACCAAGTAATTCGCGATATAAATACAAAATAAAGAACTTTAAACTATTCTACCCTCTCTCTAATAAATTTGCGATAAGAACAGCTACGAGCATTAAGAACGCAATGGCGCAATGGACGTATGTAGGAACTGCGTGTACTCCCCAAAGGAGTGCACCCTTCCAACTTTCTTATGTATCTTAAAAACATCTATCCCGAAATGTCGCTGATAAGGAGACAAATGCCCGTATTTCTCATCCACAGTGAACGACGTGAGTCTGACAAGGTAGCTGACGTCAAAGTGACAGACTTCAACAACTACGAGGACTCACAGCCACGAAGAGAGCCAAGGGCAACCAACCAATGGACAGATTTTTACGAAATACTGCACGACCTCAAAATCGTAATTTTTAATATCCTACGAGTGGCGATAACAAAAGGGACGAATGAGGAAACTCACGAGGTGTGTATTGAGATGCTGCAATCTGGTCGCCATATTTCAAATTTATTTGTTTCCATGGTCACTATTAGCAAACAGAGTTACGTGTTCTTTAAACGTTTACCGCGGCTACTGTTGACGTAATTGTGAATCAGCCGAAGGGTTAGTGCATTTTAAGATTTCTTTTGAGGCAGGTTAGGTTAGGTTAAAACATATTATTTTTGATTAGGTTATGTTAGAATTTACAGTGGTTGAATTATGTAATCTTTAATTAAGGATTTTTAAAAAAAAATAAATTGAAAACTTAGAAAGAATTAAACAATTTTTAAATTTCGAATCTTTAAAGGAGATGAGACTGCTACTCGGGATATCTAGCAGGAAAGGAGAGGATAACACAGAAATTAACTTTAAGTGAATATCCTATGACGATGTGGACTGGACTCAAGGTCTTAGGGTAGTGTCCAGTGACGCAATTTTCTGACGTGGCGATCAGAAGCGAGGCGACTATCTTCACCAACTGAGCCAGCTTATGCAGAAACATGGTTAGTTAGACTTTAGCTTCATGCAAAGTACGAATTATATTTGCGTGATGCGAACAGGCCTTCTCCCGACAACGTTTAGCGTAGACACCAATAAGAAATATAAACAAAATAAGTTGATTCCTTTCGGAGATGAAACATGCAAATGCACGGAGGCAACCTCCGCATATTTTGTTCGTATTACAGTAGAGCCTCGTCCATTGAGTGTTTGTCCACCGCGGATTTGCTTATACACACAAGGACAAGCGAGAGGTATCAATCGACGAATTCGGAAAATTTAAATATATGCAAATATATATAAAGCTCGACATGTTTGTACTCTTACGTATCTCACAGGGCCCTTCCCTTGGAACAGTGAGTCGCCACACTTAAATATCCCTATTTGAGGCACGGGTTTCGTCCACCGCCGCGGATCTACCCGTCGCAAATTCTAGTGTACGAGGGTTTACCGTACGCAGCGAAATGCGTGTGATACGACAAGTACTTAATTCCATCACTAAAGCTGTTGGAACGTACAGTTGCATTGCAGCAATTCAAAGAATCTTCGCTCTGATTTCGTATTTATCATTTCATCCTGACAATTACGATAAACTGCATTTTCAAATTTTTTTTTTTTTGAAATTCGATATATGGGGATGTTTCGCGGTTTGGAATAAGTGTCATAAAAGGAAAAGTAAGGCAGAGGATCCTCTCAACTTCACGCAATAAAATGGGGCAGTGGCAGAAGAGACGACGAAGATTTGCTACGTGTGGGTTTGCAACCGCGAAACCTTCGTCTGTTTCTCGAATTATTCATGACTTAGGTCTCCCGGGCATTATCACGCTTACGTGTCCGTGGGCCTTGCGCTCATAACTCAGCAAGCCGAAGGAAGTTAAACTGACATCACGCCCTTGTTTCTCTCGTAAGTAAACAAGCAGCCAGAAGCACTCAGCATTCATTTCACCGCGGTGCAAACCAACGACACGTGCTGGTGGCTCGCGGACGGGATGTTTCGCGTTCGATTTCCGTTCCGAAGGCCGGCCACGGCAACAGAAAATTCTCGTGGTTTTCTCAGTCCCTTCAGGATAATGCAAACAGAGTACTTTCAAGTACCCCGCGACTAATTCCACATCCTTTCGAATTCGTCCTTCTCCAGACGTCGACATTTTCCTGCTGCGTCTTCATGGAGTTACTCACAAAATCCTTCTACTTCCGGCGTGGTTCTCCACGATCTAATGAATGACACTGTTGGCCATCGTTCACACTATGACGCCGTATACGGCAGGGGTAGCGGCGCTGTCTGCCGAACACCACGAAACATTTATTGTTTATGGTTCCGTTTGAACCAGAAACAACAACATTGGCGACATTACAATTAAACTCCGTAACTAAATATGCTGTAATAACAGAGCAAAAACACGCTTATCAGGCTAGAAAAATCGTTAAAACAAATTAAACTGACTTATGAGCCAAATGCCCTCAGAAGATATCACGTGCGATATTTGAGAACTGAATTTACCTTCTGGAGACGTCGCTAGAAAATCCTGTTTCCCTCAGATCGCTACGACGTTGAGGAAGTGAGAACATTCTGTCCCTTCCCTGGGGAGTGCGCAAAGAACGCCACATCTCGGTTTGAGAGGGGGAATCACCAAGGTGTAGCCCAAAGAACAGCAGTGTTCCCGTGCAGAACGCTTTGGGAGAAACTGGTACAGGCCCTTCATAAAGCACTTTCTTCCCGTCGCTGCATCGGAGTCTCTCAGCAGCGTCGAATCGCCTGTGCTCTTCAGTTCGCAGCAGGAACTCATTTAAAAAGCAACTGTCACTTTTACTAAATGCCCAATTAAAAAAGTAATTCAGCGATATGCTAAAGACAAAGCACAACTACCTTAAAAGAAGGCGTTCAATGAGATTCAGAAGAGATTAAGTAAATGAAGAACTATATCGACACGACAAACTTTGCAACGAGGTTGCCCCTCGTGTGGTTGGACATCGAAATCGAAGAACCTACGAAAGGCGGAGAACGTAGCCCGAATGCTGTAGACAAATTTATGATTGCAGAATTTTGTGGGAAAGCATTTTTAAAAGCTGGCTACGTCGAGATGACTCTTTGAAAAACGCAGCTCGGAACGACGTTTCGTGGCAAGCTCTGGTACAACAGATTTACCGACTTCGTCAGAAGAAGAAATATTTCGATGGAAATTACAGACGGAACTCAGTTCTCCACGGGACTGTGCCACGTGTAGCCTCTGTGCTGTTCAGTTGCTCCCAATGCCTTGATCCTCCAACGCGAAGATAAAAGTCCAATGTTCTATTTTAATATCTAGAGAACAAAAACCGTCTCCTTTAATTAAAAATACACAGAATTCAGGGTTACTATCTATAACGTTAATCTTCTTATTATTATTTATATTTTATTTAGTGTTCTGTCTGACGACAGGTCCATATGAACAGGATACTTCCATTCTTTTCTCGGACTGGGACCTGTTCATATACGTTCTTGGCAGATGATCCAGAAGTGGTTTGCCATTGCCTTCTTCTGTGTGTGAATGGAGTAATTGTTGGGATGCCACGGAGGAAAACTCCGTGTTGCCTAGACCACGGCCTTGCCCAACACAAGTTATAAATTCGGGCACCGCCGGGAATCGAACCCGAGACCCCCAGGATTACAAGACCAGCGTTCTAACCGCTAGACCTCATAAAAATTTCTCGCCTCCCTTTAATTAAAAATGTAATCACAAAGATATTCTTTGGTCCCTGAAAAGTGGTAAATCCGTCAACTGTGGATTCTGTACCTCAGACAGCGTCCAG